ATGTTAACGCATAATTTCCAATGGAAAAGATTTCAAACGTAAATGTATCGAGAAAGAAAGAATAAGAAAAAGAAAAGAAAAAAATAATCCTTTTTCTCATTTAGAGTAAAAATATTTTTTTCTTACGATATCAAAGTAATTTCGCCAATGGAAAAGATTTAAAAATTCGGTAAAAAAAGAATTTCATGTAGAATTTATAATAAGAATGTAAGTTCAAGTTTGCTGTTTTTTTTTTTGTTTTTTTTTTTTTTTTAATAAAAAGCAAAGGAGAATAAATTTTTATTATTATTAGATATTAATAGAATCTTTATCCAGCGATCGTGTTGAAATCGATTATATTTTTTTGTAGTTAAATTACGAAAGGATAAAGAAGAAGTAGAAGTAGAAATAGAAGAAGAAAAAGAAGAAGAGGAAGGAGCAGAAGAAGAAGAAGAAGAAGGGAGGAAGGAGAAGAAGAAGGAAATTCGATTAAAACGCATAACATACTAATTCATTATTTAACGTAACGACGATCGAACATCCGATTAGAGATTTGAACGTTTCTACATCGGTAGGATAGAAGACAACTCGGTGGTGTGTGTGTATATATATATATATATATATCATATATATACATATATATAACTCTGGTGGGTGGATAGAAGATTATAAATTAAAGTTATTAATTTTGGAAAGAAACATTTTCCAATATTTCAAGTTTAATGTAAAATTATGTGTTAAGATGTTCGAATTTGAATGTTAAATTTGTTGACACGTGTTTTCGTTCCATTGAAATTACAATATATATATATATATATAGAGTATTCTATATATTCAATATTCTAAAATATATTAACATAAATACTTATTCTGTTTTAATGAAAATTCGATTGATATATTCATTTATTTTTTCGCCCACCATACGCGTAGATGAGTTTCTAACGATATTATATAGAATATACGAAATTGAAAGTAATATTCAACAACAGCCAGTCATTGTTAACTTTGTATTTTTGTTGTTAATTATCGTGATAAAGTAACGCCTCAAGCTTTTTTCCGCGGAATTAACAATATTTTTCTTCTTTATTTTTCATCTTCCCGCGCACCGACGGGAAGCGATGAACGACGACGAAGTAACACGAATAATACAGGTAATCGGGAGATGTTTTCGTGCATTGCACATTAGAGCACCACATTATGATAATGATAATAATCATAATAATAATAATATAATATTATATATAATAAAAATAATAATAATATAATATATAATATTAAAATAATATAATAATACAATAATAATAATAATAATAATAATAATAATATTAATTACATATAATTCATCTAGCAATAAGAGTAATATCTTGTATGTAAAAAAAGTATTTTTTTTTTCGCGGCACTCTCCAGCACATAATACACAAGTCCATATATGCAACTTGAACAGTAACGCTTGTATATATGTACTATATTATGGTACATATTTTGTGTATTTCTTCAAGATTTTCATTTAAAAGCTGCATACATGCGCACACGCGGCCGCTCTATGTATAATAACGTATAAGTATGGCATTTTATGTATTTATTTTCTTGAAACTTTTCTCAACAAACAGCACAATTTGTTCACTTTTTTACTCGATCATTGTACATTCTCATTCTCTTTTTTTTTCTGTGACGAAGTATTGCGCGTTGTATAATTAAATATTTATCTGTATTAAAAATAATAATAATAAAAAAAAAAATAATTATAATTATAATAATAATGTCATGATCATCATCATCACCACCATCATCATCATCGTCATCATTGTGCCGTCATTTATTGTAATTATACTATCATAATCATACTAATAATAATAATAATAATAATAATAATCATATAATATAATATAATATAATAATAATAATAATTATATAATAATAATATTAATAATAATAATATAATAATAATATTAATANTAAATCATAAACTTCTAATATATCCGTATAAAACTTTCTCGTTTACACAATTTTTACGATAGGACAAATAATAAAATTCATTTTTATAATTTTAACAATATACATATATATATGTATATATATATATATATATATATATACGTCTTGTTAATAAATAGAGCAACATATACATAATATTAATCGTCACTAAAATAATATGTATACACGCGTAGACGATCATTTTCTCGAGGAAAGAAGGTAGGTAGAAAGGAGGAAAGGAAAAAGAAGGTGAAGGGGGTAGTGATTTGAGGAAGAATAGAAAGGAATAAATGTTTCGGCAATCATAAGGGGTATCATAAGATTGGGAAGCGAGAGGAAATTTTACAAGTGCTGCGCAATCAGATACCAACCACACACAAATATTTTCCTTATATATATATATACATGTAACATGGTATATACATATTTACAAGATAAATTCTATTTGACAACAATGATCGTGATAAAATATCCTTTTACTCGCATTTTTTCTTCTTTCTCTCTTTTTTGTTTTTTTTTTTCGTTATAATCTAATTTACTTTTTATTTTTTCCGTTTTTTCTTTCTTATTTTTTTACAATATTCCTCTTCTTTCTTTTCTTTTTTTTTTTTTGGCGCGTTTATGATTGTGTACGAAACGGTACGACGAGAGAGGGACGCAAAAATGAAACAAATAACGAACTAGGGATTCGTTCTCGCTGGGTCTAGGAAGAGGAGGAGGCAGAGGCTAGAAGGGTTGGAGAATAGAATATAAAAAAAAAAAAAAGAAGAATGTAAGAAATATAATATAATAAAAAGGATTTCGCGGATTGGTCAATAAGCGTGATGAGTGTCAGAATTTTTATTAAAATATATTATTGCGTATTATTCATTTCGATATATTTATATATATATATATATAAAGTATTAAAAATTCTGACTAATTATTCATCGACTTAAACAAAATACATAGAAAATATGTATGTAATTAAACTGTAACCACATTGTGAAATTATGTCTACGTGTTTTGAAATATCTTATACACACAGAGAGGAGAGGAGGAAAATTATCCGAAATATATTGTGTTCGGGGACACCACAAAAATGATTAAGTTAGGATTGATTAGGGAACTTAAGGGGATGATAATTAAAATAGGAAAGGGAGAAGAGGAGGATGATGGAATATAGTTTAGTAAAAAGCTATTCACGTTTAACAGTTAATTTGAAAGACTTTGAGATAATGTCGAAGGATGCAAAGAAGGTAAATCGCTCATTCGATGAGTATCGAGATGCCACGTCGTCTACGAGGAGATCAGCGATGCGCGTTAGTTCGATAAACTAGATTTTATGTATGTATTTGTTTACCTTATTATTTTACAGACCTCGATCTTTGTTCTTTTTATTTTAGATTAATCTACCAGACGTCCCAAAAAGTTTTCGTTTTATCCCGACCGATAAATTAAAAATTAAAATTTCATTTCTTTTTTGGCAGATATTCGTGGGCCCCATAAATATTTTTAACAACAATAATAATCGACAATTCGTACACACTTGAAATGGAAAACAAAATATTTTTATTCTATTGAAATGTTTGTTTTTTTTTTCATGATAAAAAAAACTTTTTGTGACATCCTGTATGTGAATATGTGTATGTTTATGCTTAGTGTGCATGTGTGACTTCTTGGTAGTTTTAGCACCAGTAGATGAATTTTTGGTAACTTGAAAGGAGTTGAAACTTCTTTTTTTTTTTTATTATTATTTCATTATTATTCTATTATCGTCATCATTTTTTCTTTTCTTTATTTTTTTGAATTCTTTCTTCTTTTAATAATATGACTAGCTCAAGCTTCTTTTTTTTTCTTAGCTCTTGGCTCGTCTATCTCACATTATAGTTCGACCCTTAGCTATTATATTCCTAACTTTCTTTCTTTATTAATATCTTCTTCTTCTTTATTTTTTGTTTATTTCTACCCTCTATAATTTCTATCACTATTCTTTTTCATTAATCGAACTTATCATATCGATCATCGATCATCGATATATATTCATATATATATACACACACATACACACAACACACACATAGATAACATGTGTATATATATATACATTTATATATATCGCTCATATCCATTGTACAAAAATATTTTGGAAAAATATTTCTGGTTTTCTTCTGGAGTCACCAAAAATCCATACAGCTGCGCTATCGTTGTCTATCAAAAATAAGCCTCTCTCTCTCTCTTTTTCTATTTTTCTCTCTTTCTTTTACAATTTTGTTTTCTCTTTTTCTCTCTTTCGTTCTTTCTAAAAGCTTTTAAATGTTATCGAAAGCCGTCGGACATCTGTACGAACGCTTCCGTTCCCACTGTGAGATTTCGCGAACTTTGTCATAAATATATATACATATGCATATATATACATATATATATATATATATATATATA